AATTTGTTTATATGTGAGGGAACTGCTGCTTCACAACATGGAGAAGCAAATTGTCACATCTTGCTGCCTCTGACATATCATTTTGCTTTTTTTTTCCAGTCCTTTTATTTATTTCCCCCTGCTTTTTGGCATCACTGGGGTATGCAATAATTTAGCTTCATTGTTAACAAACTTAAAAATATTTATTGATATTTTTACCATAATGAAAAAAAAAATTATCTGCGAAGCACAGCAAATGTTTATTGTTTCCAGCATATGCTAAGCTATGTGACCTCATCCTCTTTCTCTCTGATGTTTCAGTCCATGAAGTCTTGCATTTCTTTTACCATGGCTTTCATTAATTAGTCTGAATGTTTTTACTAACCAGTGTTACAATTTTCAATCCATTCTCTTATGCCCTGTGCTTGCTTTTGTACAGACATCATATTGAGATACTCGTTCATCTGAGGAAAGTGATAGACAGGGTTTTTAAAAGAAGACTCAATCAGTGCCAGAATTTTTTTGATAGTATTAGAACATCTAAATTGTTGAATTGTTGCCAAGGAGAAGAGGAAAAAAAGAAAGGGAATGAGGGAGTTATAGGAACAAAAAACCAAACCACCAAACAGGTAAGGAGACAATTCCAAGCTAATTTGCTCATATTCTGTCATTTCTATCATTACTCAAGTTTCACATTACAGATACAGTGGCTTTCTGTCAATTGTTTGCTTTTTCTTTCTTAAATTGTTTTGTCAAAAATGTATTTAAGTAAAAAAGATGTATAATAACACAAGTGTTCCTTCAAAAGTGCTTGATATGAAGGCATCTTTATTGGAGAACCCTAGAGAGCTTTGCAGAGCATGGTGCCAGGTTAGCAATCCTGAGGACATAAATAGTCCCACTAAAATGAATGAGATCATTATTTGCATGATTAAATATCATAACATTAAACTGTACATAAATGCTACTGCTGTGGGTAGAGAGGGGGAAGGAGGAGAGGAGTGTGACATAAACTTTCAGGTGACAGAAGAGGAATGAATTCTGCCTGATTTTTCATCCTTCAAAAGCCTTCTAGTGACAGTATTATTTTTAAATGGCTTTTAGTGATTTTGTGACATTGCCAAGTCATTTAGCTCTATTAAAATTAAAAAAAAAAAAAGGAAGAAGAAAACCAACAGCAGCAAAAATGGAATAATGCACAGTATTAAAATAGTGCCAGCTGAGTTTGGGACTTAGAGGGCTTTGTGCCTGTGTGTGAAATTACCTTGTTGGACCCCCCCAGCCCATCCAGCCTTCACTGGCAAACAGGGCTTTGGCAGGATCACCCCTCTCCTGCTCCCCAGCATGGTCAGGGTTCTTCCCTGCTCTGCAGAGCCAAGAGCATTGCTGCACTGGGTGCCAGTGCTTAGATCTTGTCCCCTTCTTGGTAACCCTCCACAAAGGTGCCCAGTACTTCTGTGGCTGACTCAGACAGGCGTGCAAGAAATGAGCACACCGACTGCTACCTAAAGGCTCTGCACTGCTTTGCCATCACCACTGAGCAGAGCAGGCTCACCAAACACACAGATGGCACAGAGCTGGGGAGGGCTGCTGGCATGGAGGAGGACAGGTTTAGTTTTCAACATGTTCTATTTCAAATTTGGCATGCAGGGTGGAAAAAAACAATGCATTCCAGTGAGGGCAAAGGCAAGATGCTTCATGTAGGCTGTTATGCACATATGGAGCAAGTGACACCTGCCCAAGCCTTGAGGACAGCAAAGTTTCAGTAGGTCATCAGTTCTGGATAAGCCTGTGAATGTCTCAGGATGTATAAATAGGAGTGCAGGTCATAAAACCTAGTCCTAGATATAAGACAACTTTCCAGTGTAGAACCAAGTTGAGCTGCATGAATTTCACAGAGAGGGAAGAAAGAAAAATATTAAAAACATTAAACAAGAGTATTTAATCAAAACCAAACAAAAAATATCAGAGATCTAGAAAATGTGACCTATGGTGGGGGACAAATGACAGAGATTATGTTATTTTTCCTAAGCAATGAGAAAGAGGGAGTGGATAGAAGAGACATTCATTAAATATGTATAGACTACTGCCAGGATAATCTGTTCTCCCTGTTCATGGTGGACAGGACAAGAAATGATGTGCTTAGTGAATGCTGCAAGGAATGTTCAGGTTAGATATGAAAATGATAAGGATGGAGAAGCATAAAAATAGACTGCCTGGGGAGGTATAGAGCCTTTATCACAGGAAAAATGATGAGAGTAGAGTTCACTCTGCCATGAGGCAAAGGAAACTGCCAGCACTGTGATTCAGTGCATACAGTAACATTAGAGAACTGGGGGGTCCCTATCTTGGTTTCATCTTATCTCCTTTGAATGGGTGTCTCCTGAAACTGCATTATATATTTGTTTCCTTTTCCTTTTATTTATCATGATTTGTGTTGAGCAATCCAAATGAGAAAGATACTTTCTTTTTGTGCTCTGGGAAAACAGCATTAATAATTATGTTTTGTTTCATTAAAGAAATATATCAGTTTTTTGCATAAGATTTCTCCTCTTATAGTATCATTTTCATCTTGGAGTAATGCTAAAATTTCCATGGGCTTTATCTAGGAGCAAGGATATGTGTCTTTATTACTATTGTGAAACCAGGACTAACCCTTTCCATGTTAACAGAGTCATGCTGAACCACAGGAAAGACCCATTTCTGTTCACAAAAATGCCACTCTTTCCATATATGGGCTCTGGAGAGCAAGAATTTCCTCTACTTATATCTGTACAAAACCTGCCTCACACATGGAACACAGACTTGGCTGGAGTTCCTGAATCTATTGTGTAAATACAGAAACAATCAGTGAAATCCTTCCTAAATCTCCATGTTTTCCTGATGATGATGATAATAATAATAATACTAGTAATAATAATAATAATAATAATAATAATAATAATAATAATAATAGAAGGTGAATTAAGCAATGACAGCTGGAGGGCTGTTCATGGAGGCTTAGACCCACTGGAAGTCAAGCATCTTGCCACTTTTAAGCACCCCGACTCCCAACAAGCCAGAGCTTCTAGTGGGGTAGCACAGCTCCCATCCAGGCAGGGCCTTTGTCCACACTGCTGCTGTTAGAAGGCATCTGCATATTTATCTCAAAGAGTTCAGTCGGCATCACTCTTGTCTTTTGAAACACAAAGAAAACACCTTTCCCTTAAATTGCCATAGTTTAATGCAAGGACTATATCTGCTTCAGCTGCTTCCAGCAGCATGGCTTCAGCTCCAAAACTGGAGGTTTCAGCCTTTCCCCCAGGACAGGGTTCAAACACTTTAGCAAGGTTTACTTTGGGCAGGGAAGGAATGGAAGAGATAAAGATAGATACCTCTTCCTCTCCAGGCTGTGCCACCATGCACAACGCATCCAGGTTTGCTGGCACAGAGTGACTCCACAAGCAGAGGAGCAGGAACAATTCCATCTGCCAGCATGGGGAGTGAGGAGTGGCTTTATATCCAGACTCTGTGCATGGGAGAGATTCTGTTATTTCTCCAGCATCTTTAATGTAAAAGCTGTCAGGATAGCTTCATCAAACATTCACTTAACACAGGGTGGTCAGATTCACAGTACTGGTGGTGACATCACCTTTCTGAGAAGGTTTGAACTTGCTCAGGCAGAGGTGGAGGGGTTCATAGGGCTCCCTCACCTCTGGCAAGTGTGGTCTCTCCAAGTAAGGCCTGAGGACTTTCCTTGTGGCGGGGCAGAGGGATGCCCGGCTGCAGCATTAGCTCTCACTGAGCGCTGCGGAGGGATGCACCTGTCAGGCAATGCGGGACCGCCCGGGGCACCTCCAGGAGGGCACCTCGGAGAAACCTAAGTGACGCTTGAAGGAACCTCCTGGGGCCAGGGGACCTGCTCTGCGGCAGCCCCCGCCCGCTGTCCGCCTCGCAGAGCCGCGGCTGCGGCTGCTTTAACCGGGCCGGGGGGGTGCTGGCAGCCCCGCCGACGTGGCGAGCATCAGCTGACCGCGCCGGGCTCTGCCTCCTCCCGGGCCGCCCGCCCGCAGCTCCACTCCGGCGGCGGCGGCGGCTCCGCCGCGCTCGTCCCGCGGCTCCCGGGACAGCAGCCGCCGCCGGCTCTCCGCAGCCCCGCAGGCACCGCGCTCCCTGCGCTTTGCCCTCACCCCTTCCTGCTGCTCCTGCCTCCTCCTCATCCCTGCCGCCGGGGAAGCTCCTGAGCCGGAGCACTCCCTGCCCCGGCCCGCGGAGAAGTTGGGATACTCCCATCTGGCTGCCCAGAGCTCTGAGTTTAGGGCGGGATTTTCATTCCCCGCTCGCTCTTTCGATTTTTTTAGATTTGGCGTTTGATTTGATTTTTTTTTCTTCTCCTCCTTTTTTCCTTTTTTTTCCCTCCTCTTTTTCCCCGTTGCCAAGCAAGCCGAGTGTCTGCGATGGATGGGAGCCCCGAGTCCCCCGCAGGCAGAGGCGCCCCGTGAGCCAGGGGTATGCCCCGCCGCCGGGGGAAAGCGGGCGGGCAGCCCCCGGCCGGCGGCTCTGGCGCCGTGACCGAGGATGCCCGAGACCTGGCCGCCTCTCCCCTCCTGCCCGAGCTCGCAGCGCTGCCGCTGACCGCAGCCGCGGGAATTACAGCAACTCCCGGGCACCAGACCTCGGAGCGGAGCCCCGGGATCCCCGGCGAGAAGCGCTGCCCGCTGTGACCTGCTCTGCAAAGCGGCTGCTCCCACCCCTCCGTGCCTCCGGCCTCCGGATGGGGCCGAGAATCGCCCACCGGGCAGCGGGGCTGCGCCCGTAGATGCTCCGCTCCTCCCTCCGCCACCTCCTCTCCGAAGCCGCGGCTCGGTTTCACCCCCGCGCACCGCTCCGAGGAGGGCGCGCACCGAGCCCGCCGGGGCGCCGGGGCTGCGCGGCAGCCGGGCTCCGCGGGATGCGGCTCCGCGGGGCGCC